GACAAAGAGTGGGTCCAGGCAGGGCTTGGCCAGGCTCCTATGCATCTGCCTCTCTGTACCCAATTATGCTCAAGCAGCGGCCTCATCACGTTTCAGACGCCCTCCCAGGAGCCCCCCCTAGCCTCATGCATCCCCGCTGGGTGCCGAGCAAGAGGACCATATGGAGGGAATAATAAGACAATTAACTTTCCATTAAAGAATAATATATGTGGGTTTTTAGGGAGGCAAGCGACAGCAATCCCTACCCAGCGGCATATTTCACACCCGAGCCCCCCACCTCCCCACATCATGACGCGTCCCACATCCTGATCGTCTGTGCCGGGGAGAGGAGGGTGCTGCTGGGCCTCACCAGGAGGTGGCTGGATGTAGGGGTGGGGGCTGTATGATGAGCATGTGCAGAGCCCCTAGWCTAGACTTTTTGGACTGCAGGGGCCCTAGTGGGGGACTGAAGAGGGCTTGGGTGGAACTCCCTTGTCATCCCCTGCCTGACTCTCATCACATCAGCTAGGCAGCCCATGCCAGTCCTTTGTGGGTGGGGATCTGCCTTGCCAAGGACGCTGCCTGCCAATCAGGGACTCATGTGAATTACAGGGCTCTGATGAAAGGGTCAACCTAGGGGCCTGGGGTCATGACCTGTGTTCCCCTTGCCTGGACCCCCTGGACTGTTTCTGTTCCCTGGTACCTCCCTGCATCTCAGCTTCCTTCTTTATCTTCTGTTCCAGCCCCTCTGGGCACTTCTTGGAATACCCAGATATCCAGAGATGTACAGACCGAAACCTCAGCCAGTACTACCACAGTYGGTGAGTGGCAGAGGTATGAGCCGAAGAAAAGGGTGGAGAGGAGCAGGGAGAGCCCCATCTCAAAGGAACCTGCAGGAAGGCTTTGTCTTGCCTCCCRAGGCCCCACAGGATAGTATCTCTGGGCTTGGCCAGACTTTGGTCCATGCTGGGAATCACGTCTGGAAATATTAAKTATGCATTCCTAGGAGCACTGACCAGATGGGCTCCAGGGATGACCAGGGGCAGACAGAAGGAGGCAGGACTATGGTACTGTCACTGGTTCAGAAATGCCATTCTTGGTGTGTCCCAATTAGAGGTGGTGGCCCATGGATACCATGGGCTTGAATCACCATGATAATCCAGAGAGGCATGACAGAGGGAAAGGAAATCAAGAGACCTGGCTGGGGATCTTCAATTCCTAGGGTCCTGCTCTTCATGGAGGCAGGCTCAACAATCCAGGGGAGACGCTACCCCAGCATGGCTCCTCTGCCTTGGCACCTTGCCACCATGACCACCACCACTTAGGGCTGGCTTGCCAGGACTCCAGGATGGGATTGGCTTGTGGAGATGGTGGCCAGGGTCTTGGTTTACCCACCTGTATGACAGAGCCATATACCAGCAGTAGCTGAGCTAAAGTCATCATRGGGGCAGAAGTAGCCTAGTAGTACAGCAATATGCCATTTCTGTTTGGACTGGTAGGTGAGGTACAGGGGGGATGACATGGACTGGGAAAGGCTCCCGTTGTTCCAAACCTGGATTGAGACTTCCCAGAGGGTAGACTTGATCCTCAGACATGGTCATCCCATATCTCTGCTCTCAGGTCAGCTGTGGACAGGCAGCTCCYCCTCACCCCTACCTCAACCCAAGCAGAGGTCTTTTCCTCTCCAAGGGGAAAAAAGAGGAAGGTGTCTCACCAGGTCAGAAACCCATCCCAGCATTGATGAGCCAACTGGTTCTTCCTCATATCAGATGATAATCTTCCTGGTTTGCTTTCCCACAAAGTCTTTAGAGTTGTTCCTATCTTAGACACCAAGCCAGAAGTGGTAGGTCCCTACATGCACCCATCAGAGTGACCCGGGCTTYAGAGATGGGAGACCTACCCATCTCCACATCCTACCAGTGCACCCCCAGGTACCTGATGAATTATTCATCCTGATCAACCTCATTATGTAAATGAGCTCAGAACTCAAGCATATGCTCTCTGCTCTCCCCGCAGGATGGGGACAATATGGTGTTGATGGGGGAGGGTGGAAAAGGGGCTCAGGAGAGTTGCTCAGCCCCAGGGCYTCTGAAGGAGAGGGCAGACGGCTTCAGGGTCCACACTTTTGTGACCTGTTCAGAGCAAGAGTGGACCAGTGCTGGGGTGGGTCTGGGGTACCTAGAAGYGGCACAGAGGTGTCTAGCTAAGCATGGGAGTGAGGACAGCACATTAGGACCAGGCCACAGCAGGAGCTCAGGCTAGGTGCTAGCCCAAGGGTTAAATGAGAAAATTCTCTGGGGTCTTCAAAGATAGCCTTCACACTCTGCTAAGATTTTACATAGCTTCCAACTTGTAAATGGGCCACAGACTGCTCCCAACCATACCCTCATGGGGTTGTAGTAAGGTCGGGAAGAGGAAAATGCCAAGGCAAGGAAAATGCTCCCAAATGCCACTGTCTGCAGTTTCTGCTCTCTTGCAGCTGCCAGCCCTCAAGGCTCCAAGCTACTGGGGGTGGGGCAGCCTCTAGGGCTAGGATAGGCAGGCTCAGATGGGGGCTCAGATGCCAGAATCACCCCAGCTGCAGGTGTTTGGGGRACAGCTCAGAATTAGCTCAGAGGGGACTGTAGAGGGGCAGGGTCCACAGCACCATGGACAGCTGGTCAGGGCTCTGCTCCAAGAATCATCCTGACCTGTCAGAATCAGGCATGGGCTGGGCATAGGGGCCCTCTCAGGTGCATTGGAAGAAAAGTGGCGTGAGGGTCAGGGTAGGGTGTGAGCCAGGGAAAAGGGGGAGCCTACTGCCAGCTCCCTCCTGCTCCCACAGGATTGCCCTCTTTTTCTAGAACTCTACATCTGGGCCCATGTCTCTATCCCCACCCGCGCACCTTGTCATAGTGCCCTGTGCCAAGAAGCAGCCCCAGAGCTGTCAGCAGGAAGTAAGAAGCTGAGGAAGCAGGTGAGAAAAAAACTGGACCAGGACAGAGCTGCCAGAGAGCTGGCAGCCRTGGGCAGTGGAGGGGTTGCAGGGAGGAGTGGACGCCGGGTCAGCACTTCTCTGCCTGCCTTCCTGCTTGCCATACCAAGCAGAGCCCTGCTTCAATCTAGCTGTCTCAGGCTCATCCTGTCCACCATACTAAGAAGGGAAGCACAGTTAGAGGAAGGGCAGCACCCTAGAGCAGGAGTTCAAAGTCCCATAGCTGTCCTGTATGACAGCTTGGTCACTGCTGGCAGGTGGGGGTGAGGGAAGACATCAGTTATGAAAGGCTTTGGATCTGGAATGACTCTAGTTCCATATGAAAGGAAGGGACCACATCCTGGGAGTGAAAGTGGTCAATGAAGGAAAGTCAAATATGATTTCAAGAAAAGGGAACAACTATGCATCAGCCTGTCCACTGCTGTCCTCYCTACCTCATCCTCCAGTCAGTGCCAAGGGTCAGTTATTCCAAGCCAGGACTCCATCTCTGGTCCTCTCCATCCAGGAAGCTCACTGGTCCAGACAGATCCAAGTCACAGGCATGAAATGTGCACTGATTTCTCATAGACAAACATTCAGGATTTGAGTTGCCCATGAGTACAAAACAAACAATGTCCTTAAGATGCGGATTCAAAGCATGGAAGATTCTTAACTGGTACATCTAATGTCCCGATTTTTGAAACTTGGAAAGGTGCATGAGGTACATTCCAGGGAACCATCATCCCTTCATTAACCTATACGGTGGCACTTGGCAGTGCCCACTTAGAACCTGGTTAGTGCTGAATGCTATTCTTGAGTCTAAATTGACTCCTGTTCTGGAACAGCTTCCTACAGAGCTTTCTCTGGAAGCTCTGCCGGCWTCCAAGCACAGCTGAGTCATGGAGAGTTCACAGGAAGAATAGGATGCGGCTACTTCAATTCAAGTCCAGGAGCCAGGAGCGGGAGACTCAGAGACCTGAGCCACTAGGGGAGGACATCAAGCAAGCTACTGGCTCAGACCTCTGGACCTGGATGACCCCCTGCCACATTACCCCCTCATTAACCACCTCTGATTAGTCCCATTTGTGCCAGACGTTCTACATCCACAAGCAATGTCAGCACACTCACCACCACTCTCATTTCCTGGGCACTGTCTAGAAGCTAAGCCTGGGGGAAGGACCGAGGACAACCCCCACAGTCCCTGCCTCCAGAAGTTACATTTACTGACCCCTACTGACCAAGATCATCTAATCATGGAACTCTGGGCCTGGAGAGTCCTCTCTACTGAACCCCTAAAGGTAACTAGGTCTTCTCTGCCATTCCCAGGCCAACTATTGGCAGGAGATCTCTCAGCTGTGGACAGTCCCAAGGCCAGCAAAGAAATTCCTGGGGAATCCCACCCCCACTGCTCCAGGAGCTCAGCTCTCTGAGCCTCTGCATTTCCACATAAACAGCRACACCTCAGGAGCCCGTGGCCTGACAGCAACACATTTTGCAGCCTTCTGGGGGTGACTGATGGCCTGCTCTTCACATCACTATTTCAAACATTAACATAATCTCCCAGGATGAATGTGGTCTCTGRCACCTAATCAATCACCCCTCCTGCACCTTGATGTCACATCCCTTGAAAGGCCGGCTTGCTTCCTCGAGGGCTACTCAGTGCTASAGGGTTGGCCCCAGGCTGGTTTCCCCAGATTTTTGCCTGGCCATTTCATTCATTTCATGTTTTGTCCCTTGGGCTTCCACACACACTCACTGGCCCCTTAAGGGCCTGTGCTCTCACCCCATGTGCTGATTCAAACCCAGAGATCATCCACCTGGAAATCTGGAAAACCCCAACACCCTCCCCAAAACAAGGGACATCAGAGTCAACAGGTCCACTGCTCCAACAGTTGCCTGGAGAAGGGTGCACTGAGACCTAGAGGAGTTGCTGCCTTGGGTCCACTGGTGCCCCACCATGCCAGGACATCAACAATGCCAAATCTTCCACACTTCTTGTTTATGAACGCTTTCCTCATTCCTACTTGGAAGAGGGTCCACGAAGGGAAAGCAAGAGTGCCAGGCTTACCTCCCGGAGCTGCTGGACACCTCCAAAAATCCGCATCACACCGTCAATCTCCTGCTCTAGGCGGCGGGCCCAGTGCTGCATCCTGTGTACAGAAAGAAGACAGGGACGTTAGGAGGGTCCACTGGAGGTGGGACAGCCCAGCCCCTGCCACCCCTGGGGGACCAGAGCAGCCACTCAACCCAGTTTTCACTAGTGGAGAAAGAGAGGCAAGGAACCGGAGTGCACCTGTGACCTCTCTTTGAAGTCCAGTCAAGTGGCCTAGGCTCTCCTCAGGTGCTGTGGGGCAGTCAAGGAGGAGAGAGGAGTGCACTGTTAAATCCGCTGAGGGAAGCCTGCAGGGAGACTATTTTTCACGATGAAGAGTCAGTCCTTGATGTAGCTGCTCTGAACATGGGGACTTCTGGACACCAAGGAAGAGGAAGGCATGAGGGAGCCAGGTGGGGTCCGGGAAAGGGGGGAAATATTATTGTCACCACCAAGCTCTTGTGTTAACCTGGAGGCAGGTCCCTGACTTTCCGGGCCTCATCTGAGCAGTACACATGGAGCTCTTCCAGCTCAGATGGCCCTCAKCTGTCCCATACCCTGGTAGACAGATGCTTATTTAAAGCCTATCACTGGATGCCCAGCATGCACCCATCCATGGGTGCAGTGAAGATGGTCTTGCCACTTTCTGGAAGCCTGGAAAGTCCAATGAATCCTTCAACTGAGCCACGAGCCTGAGCTGGTCTCCCTCCCTCTAGGATCGTTTTAACCCATCCTTGTCTCGGCTTCCTCTTCTAGAATATGGGAATCATCTGGGGCTATTTCTTACAGTGTCACAGAGCCCATGAGAACAGAAGAGCCAGGGGCACAGTACAGGGATATCTGTGAGGGTAAAGGATGGACAGGTGGCCACATGGCTCTGTACTTTCCATCCTACACCCAGGAAAAGGAAGGTATCTGAGGAGAGGCCTCACCCAGGTTCAAACCTGTGACTGTCCCTTCAGACAGTGCCATCAGGTGAACTGTCACTGAAGACCAGCCAGAGATGTTCTCCACACCACTTAAAGATGCTCTCTGCTGTACCAATGCTTCCTGCCCTTATGAGTCTGAAAAGGTACCTCAACTTCCCCTTCTACTTGACACACTCCCATTCCACAGAGGCCCTTCCATGGAAAACAGTAGGAGAGTCACCACAGAGATTTAAATAAACATGAGTCAAGCACAGTCCACATKGCACAGCAGGGGCAGTGATGCCAGGAGGGTTGCATCTGGCCCCAACACCTCTGAGCCTGCCACCTCCCCTAGTGCCAGGACTCTCTTCTGGTCCCTGGGTGGGAAGAGCCCCAATTTCTACCCTGGCCCCTTGCCCCATATCCCTCTTTAGGCTTGTATCTTGGTGGGGTGGGTGGGGGGGCTGGGCCCATGCCATTGTGTGTGCCCAGGTCGGTTGGCATGGGAACTCGGAGCAGGAGGTGGGCAGATCGCTAATTGCAATTTGCCAAGCTGAATGTCAGGACCATGATGGGGAAGGAAAAAAAAAATCAACATCAAAAGAAAGAGGTATTAGCTTTAGCTTATTGCTGGCTGGGCCACAGCCTGATTCCCACCTCCGCACCCCGCCACAGGGGACTCTAACCCTGAGAAAGGGTGGAGGCCAGGCTGCAGGCAGGGCTAAGAAGGGCAACMGGGCTTAGCTGCCAGTCTGAGGACGGCAAGGGGCAGCAGAGAATAGAAAGCCTTCTTAGCCTGGCCACTGTCCACCAGGCACTGATGTCTTTGCCCTGGCTGTGGATGAACAATGTGGCAGGTGGCTCTTTTGTAATCCTAAAACAGCCRAGCCCTGGGGGCTAATACTGGGATGAACTGCCACATAGCCTTATGCCCAGCCAGGCAGGTGGCAGACAAATGGGCAGGGTCAAGGATCTGATCTCCAAAGGGAACCATTGGCTCTGCAMTGGCCCTAATTCTGATCTCAGCCATTCACTGGTCTAGGGGACAAAATGCCAATCATAATCTTCATGTGAGAGGACACCCACTATATACAAAGAACAGCCAGCCTGTCACACATTCTCTCACTTCAACCCTCACAAAGAGGTAAATATTATTATCCCCAACTTACGGATGAGGAAACTGAGGCTCAGAGGATTTAAGTGACCTGTCCAAGGTCATTCATCCAGGAAGGGGTGGACACAGGACTTGTCCCMGGAATGTGCTAGAGTCTCAAGAGATGACCCATAACAGCAGACTGCGCATTTCTTCCCAGCTCTCCATTCAGTGCCAGCACCTTAGGGGCTTGAGGTTCATCACATTGGGAACATGTACACCACAGAAATGAGCAAACGCTAGAAATTACAGTCCCCTCCACCCCAAAGAGCAAYCTGATAACATTTACTAGCACACCACTAATTCCACCCCAGGCCCTGGACTCTTCTAGTATGCCTACAGGTTTCTGTTTCTGGGATTTTACAAATAAGTAAAAGAAAATTAATTGGGAGAACAGACATGGATGCAAAGTATTTTTTTTCTCTCTCAGACAACACGATATTAATGTAATCACCATCGTTTCATGTAAAAAGTCRATTTCAACACTAAAATCATTTTTAGAAGAACCAAACCTCAAGATGAAGTCCAGTTCTTCCCCAAGATACWCATATGCACTCCCTGTCCCTCCTAGTCTCTCTCTTTTTCTCTCAATTACTCCTCCCACCCACAGTTTCTGCACTCTCACCCCTAGGCTGATCGGCTCTAGACTCGTGCTATGGGCTGCAAGGAGTGGCCTGCCCTGATATGTCCGGTAACACACATACCCTCCCGTGTTCAAGGTGTGGCTCTAGCCCTTAGTTTGGCATCCTGGGCTTGACAGGCAGACCCTAGGCCCCAGCTCACTGCCCAATGCCAAGGGAAACTGGTTACTTTGATTCTTCACTTAAACCCAATTAGAAAGGCACTATGCGTGTCCTAGAATTAAAAAGAATATGACGGATAATTCATTTCTTTGTCACAGAGATATGACTTTGTGGGTTCTAGGTTTTGACCAGTGTTCCAGTACCAGGTTGGGGTGAGGGGTCGCGTGACCCATGGATACCGAGAAGGCCAGGAGGTGACTATGCCCCCTCAGTGGCTGGAGAAGCCACCCACCAAGCCAAGTCCAACCTTAGCAGTTAGAGTCGGCCTCACTCGCACAGAAGGGTGTGGGGGTTTGGGAAGAACAAGAGATGCATCATGATTCACAGATCCATGGAGGTCAAAGGCAAACTGACCAAATTCTGCCCAGGCTCCCATCAACCTGGGTTCCTGGCTTTGCCAGTATCTCCTGGCTAGATGGTATGGCCCATGGGTCATACTCCCCAAAGAAAGTTCTACCTGCTAGCTCCCCACATCCTTGGGATTTTCCATGCTTTTCACCGAGATGACACTGCTTATCTCTAAGTACTTRTAAGTGCCAAATTAACAAGACAGTGAGGGGAGAGAGCGTCTGGGAGGAGAAAGTGCAGCCAAGGCTGCAGGCGCCTCATCACTGGTGTGGGTGTGAGAGGCTGACAGCTGAGCCTTGTCCTCCATCCAGTGTGCCTGAACTAGGGCTGTGAAGGCACTGCAGCCCCATTTCATAGACAAGAAAACTGAGGTCCCTGGTGAGGACGGATACAGGATTATAAACTTAAGAGAGAAGCCAGACCCATCTCCTTGGCTCARTTAAACCCAGGAGCCCTTACTTCCAGGACAAGGCAGCCTGAGAAGACTCAGAGAAGCTACCTCTGCTAGCCTTGGAGAGCTCTGCCCCCTGGGAACCTCAGCTTTCCCATCTGTCAACAGGGTTAATAATGACTGGCTAGATAACTGTAATGGACAAATGCACATGGACACCTGGATGGATAGTATTATGACTGGGAAGTCCTCTAAGGATGAGAAGCTCATCCAGTAAAGCCGTTCCCTCCAAGATCTAAGGAACCACTGAGCACTCAGAAAATCCTCAATGAATTCTTGCCCCTAGGGGAAGGTGGCTGCAGAGGGGGAGTGCTGCAAAACAGGCATGGCAGGCTGAGGCAGCCCAGCAGTTAAGAAGAGGACACCATGTGCTGTGGGATGCCAGGCCTTGGTCTCCAGAATCAAGAGGACTAGGGAGGGAGGGGGGATATCACCACTAGGCAAGGGAGCAAAATTGTCTGTGCGGCAGGGAGCTGAGGCCAGGGATCTCTTCAGCAGACAGAACAATGAGGACCCCAGCTAGAAGGCTGGGAGGTCAGAACACTCAGGTGGGGGCCTCCAGCTCTGAGGCCAGCTGCAAATGCTCACTCCGAGGGGTTGGGAGGCAGGAGGAGATCAGGGAGGAGAGGAGGAGAGGAGAGGGATGGGGGGGGGGGAATGAAAAAGTCCATGTGCAGATGCAGCAGCATAGATTAAACTGTTACCAGTTGTTAATTTTATATGTGAAGTTGTTGATCAGAATGTGATTTAATTGTACAGTATAATCCAGGCTTTTGGAATAAATTATGCAGAAAACTCATCTATAATTAAACAAATCAAAAAAAACCAGAGACAGGTGACACGGCAGGTTCACCCTCAGAGGGTATGGATAGGTGTGGGYGGCTGGACCCAGCAGAGGGGCAAGAAGGGAAGGGAGAGGGTCTTTGGAGCAGACTGGAGCAGGCTCAGAAAAGGTCAGGGCCCGGGAGGCAGTGAGGGATTTGGAACCTCCAAGCTCTGCCTCTGCAGGCCTCTATCACCCCACACAGGAAGACTTTTTATGCATCAAAGCCCTGCTTCCTCTACCAGGCAGCCTGTCTGGATAAGTCCTGTCTCACCAGGGGCCTACAACCCATCTCTAGCTCTCCCCTCGGCTTAGCAGGGCAGCCATGATGTGTGAGGCAAAGAGGTGGACACCAACTGTGGGACAGCAGTGAAGCAGGAGGTRTGGACACTACAACAGGACTCTGAAAGGGCAGGTGAAGGGTGTGAGGGAGCAGGCACAGTGGAAACCACTTGCTGCCAAGGGCACAGTGAACCAACCTTGGCAATGGCAGGGGGCCCCAGGTCTCTTGCTTGTCTCGTGACAGGCTGGCCAATTATTCTCCCAGCTCTGGGGGAGGCAACGATTTAAAA